ACATCGACGCGGCCCTCAGTCAGCTGCAGCAGCAGCTGGAGGGCGGACCTCCCGCGCGACAGGACATCACCCACGTGCCCGAGCTCGCAGACAACCTGAAATACCTCAGGTAACAATAAATCTTGGTATATAGCTTTTTCTATATAGAAGCTCTGGTTGATTCATAATTTTAGCGGGCTCAATATTATGTTATTTCGTTTCTTATTTGTGATTCGTCAAGAATTTCTTTGGTACACTTGGATCCGCTTCATCCTGTTCTTTTTGTTAGTTATAAGTTAGTCTTCTGCAAGTATATCCTTCTTTCATCATCATTATCTCATCGTACTGATTCTATTCCCGTAGGGTCCGTGCGTCAGGATTTTTACTAGATTATTCTGACTTCTTTAATGAATATGTATTATTTGAATGAATGAATATGTATTTATTGCCACAAAATAGAATTTACATACAAGGACTTATTGTAAAGAAAACACAATCGTGGCAAAAGGTAGCCAGCTCAGCGTATGCAGGACGGAATAAACCGCGCTGATTTTCAGCTGGCTCCTTCGCACTCAAGTAACGTATACCTTAATTATTAGGGTAACCGGTTATCACAGTCGTCACCATTCTTGATAATTTGGTAGGTGATAGGATAATAGGTTTAGAAAGAAATAGATGAAATCAAAACTCTACCTGTGTACACACTTATACCTTTCCCACATGAAGGTTTTTTTTTTCAATTTATTTACCCATAACTTTAATATTGCGTGTCGTAAGTGTAGGGCTTTTTATTAAAGAAAGAATTATTTAAAAATATTCTGTGATTGCTGACATCTTACGCCACCAAGTAGTGTGTTTACTCTTTATTGTATTGTTATAGATTGTTACACCAATAAATCCTTTTTATTTTATTTATTTTTTTCATGTATTGTAGGCCGAAACGGTTCACACTAAAGGCTTACAAGCGCGGCTGGGTGTCGTGTCGCGACGGCGTGCTGCGCATACACGCGTCCAGCGACGCGGCCGCGCGCGGCGACACGCCCTCGTACTCCGTGGAGCTGCGCGGAGCTGAGGTAACGTTAAAACTGCCCTAAGTGTACACTTAGTATCAATATACCACTAAATCTATTGTGGATTTAGGGGTAAATTAACGACTTGCAACTTTATATGGCGTTTAGCTTTCAGCCGCAATTCCGTCCGCTTTTTTTTTGTGAATGGGCACTGTTTGCCTTGCAGTTTGCTTTACAGATTCACCGCCGTCCGCGTACTGAATAAAACAAATCTTTACGATTAATTACGCTACATCAAACACGACATAGTATTGTCAAGCAAAATCTACAGTTTTTTTTTTAATATGTTTTCACGGGAACCCGTAAAACCATTTTCGGAATTAAAAGCAGCCTATGTGGTCTTTGTGAGATAGTCACAACTATGTTAAATGTCATCGAGTTCCGTTCAGTAGTTTATACTCTTTTTTTAATTTAATTTCTTATAAAAATCCATCCACATTTTCACATGTGACTGAAAGGTTTTATTCAGATGTGTGAAATGTAATTTGAACGGTACAGAAGAGTGTGCACTGCGCAGGTGACGCCGGACGCGCACCCCGCCTCCGGCCGCTACGGCATCAAGCTGGAGGTGCCGGCTGAAGACGCTATGCACGAGATGTGGCTCAAATGCGACGATGTAAGTGTACCGCGTCCTTGTTACGTTAATATAGATAAGTGCTGCCCATACACATTTTGAATTGCGTTTGTAGTTGCGTTGTCTACCTTTAATAGG